GGAGAAGGTTTCTAACCACCAGAGCGGGGAGGTTCTGGAGGAGTTAAGGGAACAACCTAGCTAAGATGCAGATGAACCTTGATAAGTTTATGGAAGGGATAACACAACGGAGAGAACAGGGATTTCATTTCATGTCTTCTTAGGGCCCTTGTAGTGCTGCATTTCCATGATGGCACGAGGCATCTGAAATTTTCTTAGGAGGGTGAGGAAGCACTGGGGTGGACTCCCTTGGGATGGGGTAGAATCTCCATCCCTAGAGGTTTTGAAGTCCCGGCTTGACAAAGCCCTGGCTGGGATGATTGAGTTGGGTTGGTCCTGCTTTGGCCAGGAGGTTGGACTTGATGACCTCCTGAGATCTCTTCCCACCCTAGGAGACTATAAAATACAACTGCCATGATGCACCAGGATTAGGAAGTGTCAGGTTTGGATTTTGAAACAAACCATTCCTGGGAAAATGTTAAGGAAAAAGGGGAAACTCCCGGCCCCTTTCAGCACAACATTTTGTGAACTTTTCTGCTCTTCCCCACCACTGGAAAGTTCTACTGGTGTGCTTCGTCTTGAGGTGCAAGCAATAGACAAGACCTTGGGTGAAATCCTAGTTCCAAAAGTGTGGAGGAGCTTTTTGCAGCAGGGTTAGGATGCAACTGGATCTGGGAGAACTCAGTGTTCCTGCCCAACAGGAAATAGCCACATTTCAGTCTTTGCTTTCAAAGAAAAGTTGAGATGGCGACATGTTGGTCTGACTGGAAAATCCAAAAAACCAGGTTTGACTCAGAAATGTGGCTTTCAACATTTTCCATGAAAAAGGACCAGGCTAAGAGGTGAAGGAGATCTTTCCTTCTATGTGAACTAAGAGAAACAAGGAGGAAAAAAAATGGTAAGAGATTTAGAAACTTTGATCGGGGGGAAAGATGTGTCATGCTTAAGCTAATGAAGAAGAGGAGACGGAGGGGCATGATAAATATCAGATATTTTAACGGCTTTTCTAAAGAGGACAGGGAGTAAATATTGTCCATGTCCACTCAAATTAGGACTAAAAGTAATGGTCTTCATCTACAACCCTGGCACTGTAATTTGGGTATTATGGAAAACTTTAAGGACACGTAAGCTCTGGGAAAGATTTATTAGGAAGGGGGTGGAATATCCATCGGTAGACACGTTTTAAGACCAGGTTGGACAAACACCCATCAAAGCTGGTCTAGGCCAGCGTTCCTCAACCTTTTTTTCATAAAGTACCCCTTTAAAAAAATTATAAGTGCCCGCAGTACCTACAGTTTTCAGACACACAATTTTTTTTTCTATTTAAGCAAATGTGTTGGAATAACCACTTAAATTTTGGGGGTGTACAAAGTAAAAAATAATAAAGCGCTGTAAAGCTCACAACAAAAAGTTTTTTTTCCAAATTTCACGTGTTGACCGAGCCCCCAGACTTCTGTCGAATACCCCGGAGGTACTCGTACCACTGGCTGAGAAACACGGGTCTAGGCTCGTTTTGGCCTGTCCTCCAAGCAGACAATTAGATGAACTCTGAAGGTTTCTTCCAGCCTGGCATTTCTATCCATCTAGAAATTTGATTGTTGAGTTCACCCAAAATTTCAAGCCTTGTCAGCATTCAGCATCAGTTTAATATCATCGCAATGTCTTCTGGGAGCTGTCGCTGAGACCCCCTCATTTCTCTTAAGTAACTAGAACAACATCTCCCATAATGCTCTGAGTCATTCCATTCCTAGCAGGTCCCAAACTGCTCAGTCACAGGCAAATCTGCGTGGCAGGATGGGAGAGGAAGTCCCTCAATGTGCCAAGTCCTTAGGGGGGAATGAAGACCTGAACTACAACACCCATAAGCCACAGCGCCGATAGGAAAAAACAGTTTGATATTTTGTTCAGCTGATTCCAAACTATGGAAAATTCTGATTTGGGAGGAAGTGACAATATCATGGAAGCAGAGAGCACTAGACCTGGAAGGGTCCTCAAGAGGTAACCAGATCCAGTCCCCTGCCCTCATGGCAGGATCAAGCACTGTCTAGACCATCCCGGACAGGTGTCTATCCAACCTGCCCTTAAATATCTCCTGAGATAGACACTCCACAACCTCCCTAGGCAACTTATTCCAGTGTTTCAGCACCCGGGCAGGTAGGAAGTTTTTCCTCACGTCCAACCTCAACCTCCCTTGCTGATCACCGATGTTATTCTTCTTGGCAGGGCGATTCCGGCGGGCCCCTGGTGTGTGACGGCGTGGTGCAGGGCATCGTCTCCAACGGAGATCCGGACGGGCGCCCCCCCAGCATCTACACAAGGATCTCCAAATTCATCCCTTGGATCAATGCAACTTTGGAGAAGTTGAGTTGAAGGAGACACTCCACGTTCAAGGGCCCAATTGCCCAGACGGGTCTCCATACCTGTGGGGAACTCTGAGGGAGTTTACATTAGAATATTTATAATAGCGTTAGAGAAATATCAGGAATGGGTCCGTCATGAAACACTTTTGGGGCTAGAAACACCTTTTGATATTAGAAAATTTGTTCTGTTGCATTGTCACCCCAAACGGCTGGTCAATATTTGGGTCCTACCGATGGCCCGGCTGGGAGCAGAAACTGGAAATCATTTTTGGTATTTACTTTGATGCAATCTGGTTTATCGGCGAGGAATATCGGAAGAATTCCCTGAACACAGGACTCAAATAGCAACTGAGTCGTCCCCCGTTTGCTGTCCCAAGCCCAGCCGAGACTGTGTGCCCCAAAAGCTACCTCTGACGCCACAATTGTGTTTGCCTGGCTGTTTGACTCTGCATTTCCCTTCCTTCCGTTCTCGGGTCTCTCTGTCTGTGCTGTGACTGTCCAATGCAAATGCCCATGGCCCAAGACCAATAATCGGTGATTTTTTTTTCCTCCTGAGTTTATAGAAGTGTGGGAATTCTATCAAAGGCTCAGAGAGGGAGCCACACTGGTCTGTAACTGGAAACACTTTTAAAAAGTAACAAATATTCTCGTCGCATCTTAGAGATGAACAAAACATGTCGATGGGATCATGCACATTTGAGGGCACAGCCCACTTCTTCAGATGTATTGAGGCTTCAGAGGGGGAGCCGTGTTGTTTTCCAGTTACAGACTCTTAAATAAAATAACTACAACTTTTCAGCTTGTAACTTGAACAATCTAATTCACTATTTTTTTTCTTATTCTTTCCTCCCCTCCTTCCCTTATTCATTCTTGGATCTGGCTTTTAATACTCCAGTCATCTGAAGACGTGGGGTCTCATCTACAAGGGTTTTCCACCATCAAACTCCCTACCTGGCTTAAAAACTTTCTTTCACTGAGCCAGACAGGAGCAAAGCAGCCGTGTGGCTTAGAAGGCCAACCTGCCATCACAAAGCATGGACAGTCGGATTTCACAGCACATCCACATTGGGTCCTCAAATGGCCGCGTTAAAAAAAAAAAAACGTGAAATTTCAAAGACTTTGTTTCACACGTTTTGAGCCGGACCCAACGTTGGCTTGTTTTAAGGGCTATTTTTTCTGTTTTCCTCTCCTAACCCCCATGTCTATTTAATTATTTATTATTGTGATTCTGATGGGAGGGTGCAAACCCCACAAAGGACAGGAACCCAGAAAGTGTCGCTGGAAGAGACGGGGACAAGAGAAAGACTTGGGTGGAACATGTCCAAAATAGATGCTTGTTTGAAAAAACAAACGGTGCTTGAAAGGGAGAATGAAAGTCATTTTTTTCTGAATAAAAACTTTTTCTTTGAACTGTCTTGTCTGTCATTGGCCTGCAGCCTGGATGCTGATGGTGTGAATGAGCCAGGCTTGTGGGGAGACCATGGGGCAGTGGGAAGGATGGCTGGAAAAAATTTGAGCTAAATGAGATTAAACAGCTCTCAGGATCAGGACCTGAATTGACACCTAAGTCCCACTGAAACAGCCAAGAGCGTCACACTGTTCCCTTCAGCAGATCTCAAAGCATTTTAAGCACCGTTAGGTCCAGATGGGGAAACTGAGGCACAATGCCTTGCCAAAGCTCATCTACCAGGAGATCTAGGAACAGAATCCAAGCGGCTTAAATGTCAGGCCTGTGCAGTGGCCACTAGGCCACACTGCTGCCCCACCCCCCGC